ATGATACTCAAGGCTCCGTCCAGCTTGGCTTTGAACACCTCCAGGGAGGGGGCAGCCACAACATCTCTGGGCAATTTATTCCAAAGTCTTGCAAAAATGATTCTCGATGTATTCCAGGTGTGAAATACTACAGCCAGGTCACACAGAAGTGATTTTTCAGAAAACACAGAAACAATTTTCGCAGAATTCTGGCAGGCACAGTATATTTTGCTATCATTTTGTCAGAAGCCATACCAAGCCTGCCTGAGCCTGACCCAGCCCAAGTACTCTTTTTCTTAGTGGTCCACAGATGCCTGGTGTCAGCAGGGAGCATTAAGCCCATCTTGTCATCACAACTGTGGCGTTTAAGTTTCCAAACTGATTTTGCTAGCAGTGTAATACTGTCTCTATTAGCGTAGGCTGACAACCCGGGGAGGGAGATGGGTAATTTAAAAGGAATCGGATGTTTGGAAGGGAGGGAAGGGAGAAGGGGACACTGGAAGAGGCATCCAGTCATCTCAAGTCCATCACTAGCTGAAGGACAGGCTTGCTGTGATTAGTTCACAGAGATAAATTATAACAGGCAGGGCAATGCTATAGCACACACCAAAGAGACTTGCACTGTCATTCCCAGCTCAGAGCAGCCAAGAGGAACGATCGGAAGGATTGCAAAACACGGGGAACCCTGAGGAATTCCTGGACTCAGCGCAAAGGAGAGGAGCCCCACTGGGACTTACCTAGGAACTTTCTGAACCACTTGGGCTTCTTGTCCCACACGATGAAGAGGTAGTAAGCAGGAACTCCAGTCAGGGTTATTGCAAACCCAATCCCTGTATTCACGGGATCCGAGTAAAGTGACAGTGCAACCATGAAGAGGCAGGTGAAGGAAAATAATGCTGGAATAAATATAGGCACCTGAAACACAATCACACAAAGAACCATTACTTGATATTGACCCGACCATTGAATGACTATGGCGTTAAATGTTCCGTGAAACATAAATTGGATAAAACTCAGCAGTACAGGATAGTTGTGGAAAAATACAGGTATCTAGAACATGCGTACAAAATGTCAGTGATGGCAGAAACCAAACTATGCAGGGTGCTGTACAGCAAGCACCATAGAAGTCTGTTAATTACATGCTAAAACACTACAGTGTTTTACATCCTTTAAAACTTAAGGGCTGTAAATAAGTCACATGGCAAAAGTCCTTTCTCTAATCCCCCAGTAGATAAGTATGCAGCTCTAACCACAGTAAAGATTTCCTCTTTGATAATTACCTATTAGAAAACATTTTAAAACACAACCAAGAGCTCAAGCCACCTTTTAAAACCATTAAGAACATATTGATTTTCTTCCTAAGGTAAAAATCAAAATCTAGCAGGAAGAGAGTAAATTAAACACCAGTTTGACTAGTGATAAAGATATTTGATACCATTATGCAACTGCTAGCTACTGAAAGAAAACAACTTTCGGACATTACGGCTGATAGCATTATCACTGTCACTGTTGGAAGTACAAAAAATAACTATCAAATTAATTCTCCCAATTTTCAAAAACACTACTACAATCACTATATTAGCACCTCTCTGAAGGAAATGCCTAGAGGCGTGGTTTGTGAGATGCTCGGTGTAACTGAGACCTAGAGAATTCCTTGGAGATTATTCTCTTCCTTTCATGCCTCGAAGCATTACTGTTCCTCTTTTGTGCACTGTGAAAGCAATTTTTTTTTTATTCAAAGCAAAATAAGTTGTGCTGTTGACCTTCTTATTTAGATATACCTACGAGAACACAACAGCATACATTCTTAGTCCTTCACAAAACAGGCTTCTTGGCAACATATAAACAGGGAGAGATTCCTCCATTTTTTTCTCCTGATGGAAGTTATCTTTCTAGATACACAATGAAACAACTTACTTTGTAATTTCTTACTTAAAACAAGCAGGAAAATGTCAGAACCAAGGCCAAAACAGCTACTGTTCAATAGGCCAGGCTATTAGCATTTTCCTTCTGAGTTCACAGTAACTATGTCGGCAAATCCACCACAAGTCTCAAATAACATAATAATAACACTGTAACGGCTTATTTGCACAGCAAATTAGCATATTTGGTATTCGATAGACAACAATAACAAACATTTAATATTAATGCTTATGCTTGACATGAATTCCAGGGGCAAAATTATTCAGGCCTTTGTCAAAGGAGACGTTAAATAGAGAACTGGCTGAAAATCAGGTTGGCACATGTAACCCCAATATTTGTAGTCTGAATCCTATGCAGCTACAGAGGACAGAAGGTATTTTCACCCAGCTTGATGAACATTGCCTCAGTGCAACAGACAGATAAAACTGAGCAAACACCTTCGCTTTGGCACAGCAGCTCCAGGCTCTGCCCCCCGAGCACCAGGGAATAGGCAAGAATTATCTTTTGGAAGGGAAAGCAGCTGGGGAGCTTGCAGGAGAGCACAAGGAGATCCTTCAGCGTAAAAGACTATTTTCTGTTAACTCTGGTTTGTTTTTCTGTTTTGTTTGGGTTTTTTTCCCCATAAAGAGGTTAGCTTTCTACATCAGAACATCCTCCTTTACTGTCGGACTGCACTACAGATAGGAGAGAGAAAGATTCATGTAAAACAGTAGAGAGCGGAGGTTACCTTGAAAGGACGAGGCATATCAGGACGTTTATATCTGAGATAAATCAACCCAGCAACTACTAGTCCAATAAAAAGCCACCTGGCAAAACTGAGGAAATTCAGGAGACTGTAGAGATCCCCGGTGAATAACATTATCATTGTGAGAGGATGCTGCAAAAGAAATTCAGAGCGTAAGAGGCGTTTAGTGGCTTCATCTCCATTATTCTGCAGCAGCGATTTCAATTTTTTCCCCTGGGGACAAGCAGTACAGCCTTTTGCAGAGACACCTGAGGGCCGCAGAGTTTAGGCTGTTCTTTGCCGTGCGATCGATATCTGGCTGTCCTGAGATCACATTTGATTAATGTACATCTGTCCCGGGTGGCCACATGTGATCAATATATACCTGTCCCCCTGTGAGCTAGACGTGGTTGGGGGTAGCTGCACAGCACAGGACGCCAGCTGGGCACACCGAGTTGCCACCCGCTCGTACCCGCAGCGTGCCTTTAAGGCGTGCAGGGTGTAGGCTGATTGCACATTGGAAATGAAGGGAGAAGCACTGAGCTGTCACTCAGCTACTGAACTGCAAGAAGAAAGGACACTGGAATAAATATATTTCCTCATTAAAAAGCTGTTCTGAGATACAAGGCTGCTGTGAGGTGGGCGAAAGCTTACGTGTAAAACTAGAGTGTTGCACCTTAGCTTAGATGATTAGTGTAGGTTACAAGGATCTATTTCAGGGTAATCTCCGGATGAAAGCAGAATATTTATAGCTTGGATCAGCTCTGCAGGGCAGTCCACACTTCCCATACGAGACACCCTATGCCAGTCCTTGCATTCAGGGATGAAGAAATAAATCAGCTCCACTGCAGCCCTTAATGTGCAGCAAGAAGGAAGGGCCTGGCAGCAACAGCCTATCTAGGTTTATAACCAGGCAACAGGTCAAATCAACAGCAGATGCAGTAAAATGCCGAGGTAAATCTTTATATAAAGGAAACTAATTTGTATTAGTTATCAAGACTCAGAGCCTTCATTTTTTTTCTTTTTTTTTGTTTGTTTTGTTTTGTTTTTTTCCCTGCAGTGAAGACACTGGATGGATTGAAACCAGAAGGATCAATATTTCCAATATGGGTCTCCGGCTTCCAACTTCTAATGACTTACAAAGTGCTTGGTTCTTTACACACAGATATTAAGCAAACTCCTTCTCTGTAAAGGTCAAAGGAAATTTTAGCACTGAAATATACTGGGCAAGATTTCTTCTACAGAGACTCAGTCCCTAAGAGTTTAAAATCTCAGTTATAAGCATGATAATATAAGAAAGGGCCATGGACAGTGAAGGAGAGCCCTCAAGATAAAAACCAAAGTAGTGTTCTTATCAGATTGCATGATTACTTGGAGTTGCTACACAGACATCTATCAAATAGATAGGACATATATAGCTAAGCAGATTTCTTAATTCCTAAAAATGCTTCTTTATTTAACAAGCCTCAAACACTGAACATGTTCATTTTTTCAATTCCTTCTCAATAACTTTTTCCTTTCTTACAGTGTGTAGTCTTTAGCAGGAGAAATTAAATAGGAAAATGGTAAAATGCAGACTATTGATGCCGAATATATCCTGCAACTAATCTACTTGCAATAACGGAAGAAAAAAAATAAATTACAACCTCTGAAGGAAAGTCATCCTTATGAGAATCCAACTTTTTCAAAGGAAATCAATGCACTGGTGTAACAGAACCAAATGCAATAACAGAGAACATCTTTTATAAAAAACAAACAAACAAAAAAAAACCAAACAAAAAAACCCTCAACTTTTTGTGCATTTAATTCCACAGAAAACAGCCAATGCAATTTACCTGAAAGGTATGACTACTTCAGGCCAAAGAAATAAAATGCAAAGTAAATGTTTATGTAAAATGAATTCCATTGAAATTTTTCACCATAATTACATCGCCTAATTTTCAATACTTAGAAGCCTACGGTTCCATGTGCACATTTGAAATTCAGCACTTCAGCTGACAGTTCAAAAGTGAGCAAAAGCTGATTTAAATTCCAGCCCAAGCATTGGATCTTACCAGCGTAGACTCATGTACATGGGTCTCTGCTGTGGCTAGAACTCCCCACAGATGCAGAGGTCTGTCCAGATACATTACAGTCAGCAGTCCCAAAAGAGGGGCTGAACCCCCATGGCTATGAAGACTTCAAGTTAAGTGAAAATTTTCCTGGCAATATACAAACTGAGGTTTGAGGTCAGTATTTTGACATTTTGTCCTAACATTTTACCATAAAAATTAGTCTGCAATGCAAACACATGGCCAACATTTAGATCTGCCTCTATTTTAGAACTCAGTAATAGGATTTCCACTCTTAATATCAGTGTTTTTCCTTAGACAATTCACAGACTATTGCCCAGGCACACATCCTCTCATTTTTTAATCACCGCTACACTGCGCTGCTGAGGGTTCCCCTTCCATTATCTTAGTGCATAATTGTTTGCATTTCTCACTATAAGGTGGTATAATGAGCCTTTAGGGTACTCCCAGATGCTGGGGTTTAGCTGCACTTTCAGCTAAATGAATCCCTTTTTTGTTTGTTTGTTTAACTGGAATTTGTTTCTTTGAAAGGGAACTAGCTCATGAAAGGGAAATAGCTCATCACTAGCAGGTCCTTAGAAATAAAGGGCAGTAAGACATGAATTCCGTTGCAGCAATAGGCAGTCCAAGTGCTAACGACAAGATAGCAAGAAGATGATAGAATAACAACTCCCAAATCTCATTCCTTCCTCTACTGTCCCCTTGTCCTGCCCAAAGCCCACGTATACATTAATAAATGAGACTCAAGCAGTGCCCAAATTCTGTCTGAATCCTCCAGAGCAAACCCGTAATGCGAATTCTTGTGCAGGAACATTTGTTTGTATGATTTACCAAAACAATGACAGCTGGCAGAGGAGTGTGCTTGCGGACATGAATCATGGAGAGAATTTCCGGAAGGTGACCCTCGCGGGATGCAACGAAGAACATCCTGGTGGGAAATAAATGTGGACAGACTTTAAATGTGCTCATTACTGTGACTAGGCAAAGCAGCTCATGAAAGTCACAGAGCACAGCAGCACTTCTTAGGCTTGTTGGAGGTGTTCTGAATGAAAAGACGAGCAGAAGAAGCCCAGACACAGAAATCAAAGTCATCTCTGAAGGTGTCCCCCTCCTAAATTTACGTTATGATCAGTGCTTGGAATTAGTTAATATATTCCCTCCAATTCTCCTCATTCACATGAAACAAAGCAGCTGTTAATTAAGTGCTATGCTCAGAGGGGTCCATTTCCAAACCATTCAAAGGGTTTTAACAGTAAGATACTAAACTCAGCAGAAATAAAGTGAGAAAAGAGCCCCACATAGAATCATAGAATGGCCTAGGCTGGAAGGGACCTTAGAGATCATCTAGTCCAACCTCCCTGTTGTGGGCAGGGACGCCACCTCTCGACTAGACCAGGCAACACATGGGGACCCAGCGGGATTCGAACCCGCAACCTTGGTGTCATTGTTGTCAGCACCGCGCTCAAACGACTGAGCTAACCGGCACCCTGGTTACATCTGGTAAACATGACATTTTTCATTTCCTTCTAAAGGTACCACTTCTGTCCTCCCTTCCCCTTGCTTCCTTATTTCCAGTGTACAGCCTGCGCCTTTTACTCCCAGTTACATTAGCAATGCTCACCTGGAGACTGCAAAAACACCACCATTCATAGATCCAAAGCAGGAGAGCGCAACAAATACCGGTACAGCTAAAGAAAAGCTTCCCATTAGCCGTTCAGCAAATGTCTGTTACACAGGAGAGAGAAACGTACAGTGATTTTTCATAAAACATGAAAGTAATTTTATTCTATTAACAAATTATTAATAAGTGTGCTAAGTTTTAGTTATACCCTTTTTCTGCATCCCTCACTGGAAGTTGTGCTGGGCATTTGTTACCTCCCGTTTTGTGACACACCAAAGCCACTGCAGATGAGGTTTCACACCTTTACTTACTGCTGACTGCGCACAGAAGATCTCCAGTTGAGGCAATGTCATGGTATCAGTTCCTGATTTATGTCAGTTTAGACCATTACAGTTCCAAAAAGAGAAGATCCAATCCAAATGGATCAATGTCTGATCTGCATGCCTAATACTCTTTTCCCCACAGTCTTCATTTTACTCAAGTGATGCTACCCAGTCATATCCATTAGCCATATCCATATCCCAGTCATATCCATCCACTCACACTTTATTGTTCTAGATCACCAGAAGAGCCTTAACTGGACTTTGGAGCACCACAGGAGACAAGTACAATTCTCTTCAGGTTTGCAAAATATTTTGTTTCTAAACCTCCCGTAAGCTACAGATTTTGGTAATTTTTTTAATGCCATGTCAACTGAAATAGCCACAGGCAGTGTCACTACCTGGAAAGTAAGTGGAAATTTTCATTTCCTCATTATGAGTCAGGTACCTTAAATATAAAAGTCAGTGTCATCGCCACAATTCAGCAAGAACAATCAAAGCAGTATCTCCAAGCCAGCTTGCCTTGTAACTCCTTCCCAAACGAACTGCAGTACCCACAGCAACCCCTTTCCTAAGGACTCAGGACACACATTGTGCAGAGACAGTTTTACCGCTTCTTGCTACAAAAAAAATAGTTCGGAGCTCCCCCTTCCACCAATATCTGCATTTTCTGTTCCCCAGGAGTTAGGTCTAAAATTTAGCTCAGAATTTTTCAAGCATGTATGTAGCTATAAAATTTAAGTCCTAGTGACTTTGTTATATCAGGCAAATAAACATCGTCTAACTTTACAGTGCTAGAGATGGTTTTTGGCGCAATCCCATTCATCAGTCAAAAAATAAGACTAATTTCACCAGGATGTTAACACATAAAAAAGAAGTCACGGAAAAAGACTGACTGGATGCATTTCCCCCAGTTTTTTTTTCACCTGGAAATAAGAATATATCAACAAACACAAGCGCAGCTTGGATATAGCTTTGTATTTTTCTTCTGACACTTACCACTGCTACAGCTTCTGAAAGCAGCAATTCTCCAGCACTGATTGTAGTGAAATACGCCACGTTTGTTAACACGTAGCCAACTGTGACGATAATCATTGAAATGCATATTGCGAGGGGTATGTTTCTGAAATACACAAGGCAGCTCATTATTTTGCAATCTGGTTGCTATTCCCTGAACATGAAACAAATAACATGAGAAGAAGCCTCTAATGATGGCGAGTGAACATTTGGCGATCCCAAAAATATCATAATTAGAAACTACCAGTTAAAAAAAATAATAATCACATCTAAACAAAACCACCTAGACAAAGAAAATATGTTTATAATATAGAGGTGAGAAACCATTTGAGGGACGATTCCTTTGAGAACGCCAAGAGGTTGTGGACCCCATGATTCCCGTAGAAGAAGCACGGCTGGTCTGAGTTGCTGAAACGTATTGGCTTTCAAGCTGAGCCCAACAAGGAGATCAAAGAAGATGCATTATATTCTGGGGTTTTTTTTTCTCAGAGGAACACAGCTGGGTCAGAACTTAAGGATCCTCTTCACTACCAGATTTTATTTCTCAAAAAAATCCTTAACACCAGTATGCCTGTACAGAACTGAAAAGAAGCTCTAAACTAAGACTAAATAAATAAAGCAGGACAGGATCCCTGTTGCACATCTTGCCCACCTTAGAAGTCACGGTGTCAAATACCATCATTAACCCAGACACAACAGGTAGGTAAGAGGATCAGGCCACCTTGCAACACCAAATCTGGGTAGAAAAAATGACGCAGCACTAACCCATTGCTACCTCATGCACACGGTTTCAGGTGAAGAAGCTGGGGGGAGGGGATCCTGTCAGCTTGTAGGATGTGCTTGTTGATAGAGAAAGTGATGGCAAGAACCAAGGCAAACAGCCCAGAATACAAGTGTATTGCTGGAAAAACCACAAAGTTACTGACTTAAGAAATACGTGTTGATAATATGTCTGTGCAAAAAATGTTTTTGCAGCTCAGTTGCCAGGTATTTTGCAACCAGTCTGGTAAAGCTTCTCACCTGACCTGGGTGCAAACTGAATTCAATCCACTTAGCATCTGATTCCAGGTAGGGATATATGGTTTCAAAGCCTCCCAGAACAAAGATGTTAATTATATCTTCTGCATCACAGATGAATGCTTCAATCGCTGAGCTATTAGAGAAATCAGCACTTACTCCAACCTTAAAAAAACATCTCCAGCCAAAGACAGCTAATCTGCACTACTTTCACAAATACCATTTGAATGACCGAAACCACATCGCTGAACTTAAACAATCTTTGTCTGTTCTAATTCTTACCAAACATCTTCTTGCTTTATTTGTTTCTAATACACACGCCAGTCTAATTTCCTCTAAAATGAAGCAGGGGGAAAAAAGAAATCATGGTTCCAAAAATGACTGGTTTTTGGCACTGTGGGTCCTGCTTTGATAATGCTGAAGAGCACTAACCTCCTTGGAGAATAATACCAACAACAACAACAAAAAGCACCCCAAGAGAAGAATAAAATCCAGAAAACCAAGCCAGAACTAGTCAGCAAGCACTATTCATTAAAAAGCCCACAGATCATAAGTCACCCCTGGGGCAGCACAAGGGATGCTGTGACTTCGAAGCTCCCAAGCCCTCGTTTTCCAAGCGAAACGAGCGCTCAGGTTGCGTCTCCTTTTGTCTCCTGTCAGGAGCAGACCTTCAGAGGGGGCTGCCACACGGTCATACAGGGCCCCCTCCAAGTACTGCTTATTAACCACTGCCTTCGCTGACAGATTTAGACAGAAATGAAAGGCCAGTTTCAAGATTTCAGGGATGAGTAATAGGGTATGGTTCATATCCTCACTGACACAGTTCAGATTTATACTTGGTCCTCGAACCGTCTGAAAGCACAGACAGGCACGAACCATAAGTAAAACCACTAATGAGAGCTTTAATCATGTCTTTTCTATGCATCCAATTTAAGAGGCAGATCGAAATTCGCAACAGGATCCCTTTATCAAACTCTCTGCTAGGACCTACAGTCACTGCACTAGAACAGACCTGTAACGCCATTACCAATAAAGATTATCTGCTTTTCTCTGGAAGACGACTACACCAATTTTCTTGTATTTTAAATACTCACCTAGACTTCCAAATATTCTCTCCAAATCAGAAAAAACACATACCTGAACTCTATTCTCCCCTAAATTGTCTCTATCAATGCAGATTTCACCTTTTCACTTCTGCATCCTATGAATCAAAGACAATATAGGGAGTTATAGCACACCGAGAAGCCTCATGAGTGATACAACGCAAACTTACAACTGCCGCACAGCCTGTTGAGATTTTTCAGACAACATCAAGTCAGAAAATTCAAGAAAAAAACATTAATATTCTTCACTCTAAGGTTTTGATTCATTGAAGCTAAAACGTCTGATTGGAAACTTGACCATTTCTGTATGACATTTCTCAGGAAAAAAAAAATCAAATCTTAGAACCAAGACTGAGATCTCATCCAACCAGTAAAGAGATCTTGTATGCCCTCTGGCTTAAAAACCATGGCATTGTGTGTGCTCAGAGACAGGAGATAGCAGTATTTTATTTCCTTAAAGCAGGCCCAGAATTACAACTTGCATTGAAGTGGCTACTACTTACTGTAGGGCAGTGCTTTCCTTTTGCATCTCATTTCAGGACAAAATCTCAACAGATTCCAAAATCTACAAAAAATCTTCTCAAGTCAGCTGGTTTTCTGAGTAGACGTTGTGTTGATATTAGCCCCAAACCTATACAATGATTTGGAAATGTCTTGTGTGTTACCACTAAGGTGATAACACAAGCAGACTGCTCCTTGGGTAGAAGGGGAAACTACTGCCAGTAAAACCTTCTTCAGTATTCATCTCTTCTCTCAATACTTTGAAGAAAGTCGGTATCAAAACACAACAAAAACCACACCAAAAAACCAAAACAAACAAAAAAATCCAACCACAAACAAACAGAGAAAACCTGAATGAGTAAAATATTGACAATGTAATTAAAAAACCTTTAATAAAATCTGATGAGAGACCATTAGGGTAGTGTCTAAGCATCTGGATGTTGATTAAAATTGAACTGAATCTCCACATGTTTAAGATTTACCCATCCCTAGCTACTGTTCAAAACCAAATCTTCCCCTTCTTCCGAAGGTACAAAGCAACCGTCACGAAGAACCACAACACCTTAAACAAAAAGCACATCTACATTGTACTTCCCAGAAAGAAGCACTGAGGAGTCTGCCATGGCAGAGAAAGTCAGCATTAGCAATGCAGCTGGTTCATCCTGTAGCTATATAGGGCTGAAACACTTTGCCGAGCTATGCTGCATATGGCTTGGAAGAAAATTTCCTCCTCCTATAGCTTGTAAAGGGCCCTGGAGCTAAGGCACAGGGTTCAGTTAATCAGGATATCCACTGGGTTTTGGATTTGACCTTTGGTGTCACAGAGTCATAGATCTCCTGATAATCTGCTTTGGTACTACTCAAATATTTTTGAAAGAAAAACCACAGAGCAGACTAGAAGGCAGTAAGAAAAACGAAAATGAGGAAAAAAGCCAAAGACAGAAACTGGGGAGAAGAACAACAATTTCACTACATCAGTCAAGGAACAATCCCAGAAGTCCACAGCTCATACTCCAGTTTAATGACAACTTTTTATAACAGTGAGCGCCAAGAGCTGGGACTGTTCTTTCTGCGAAACAACAAGCGCACGGTCAAATGTGGCCCCAAGAGCCTGGCGAGTTCACAAGTATGAAACACATTGTCACCACGTGCTTTGTTTAGAGGCCACAGCAAAAAATCCTTTCCTTGCATCCATTTCAAAGCTGGTTTTTACATGCACTTGATCTGCGTCGACTGTCCTGGAAAAAGCTGTGACAAAGGGACCCCACTGGGAAATGTAAATAAGAAGGTCTAAACAAAGCAATTACTGGTAAAATTAGGTGAGATAAGCCACTGTACTATAGAAATCATGAAAGATATTTTTTTTTCTTTATGTAACACAAAGTAAAAAGAGTTAAGGAGAAAGGAAAAGTCCTAATTCCTCAAATGGTTTTCAGGCAAGCATTTGCTTGATTTCCATGAGCATAATCCTGTACATGGTATATTGCTTGAGTTGAAAATTTACCATCACAGGAGTTTCAAGATCCTTTTCAAAGGTTCCCTTGTGTGATAATTTATTCACCACTTGAAATCTGTTAAGCGATTTTCCAACTGAACCATTTCCAGATTTTGGCACCCTTAAAAAATATAATCATTCATTGCACTGTCCATAGGGCCAAAGCTTGGCAGAATAAGTCACAAGTGCACATTTATCCAAATAACCTGACACTTGAAAAAATAACTAAATACAATACAGAAAGCAGCAAGCGAGCCCTGGTAATTTAATATTCCCAAGGATTTCAGTGCAAGACCTGCAGATGTATAGACTTAGCTTAGTAAATGCCATGTTCCAGAGACCCCTGCATATCTCTTGCCATTCCTGGGTGGTCATTCTGTGAGCTGTGGCAGTCCCAAATTCTGAGCAGAAAAGCAGTACGTTTTAATATAAACTTAACTTATCTCTGATGTATGTTTTTTATGCAAAAAGCAGCCTAAGAAAACAGCCTGTTACACTGAAGGGATCAAATGGTTCTCACCATGTCAATGTGTGGGAAAAAAAAAATAAAATCACTCTCTCATCCATCTGTTAGGAGAAAATGGGGATGCAAAACTTAAAAGGAGGCCACCTCCAAGGACAGAATCAAAGCCAGGAATAGAGAGACAAAAAGGATGGGAGTCATCACAGCACCTCTTGAATATGTGTATTTGTAACACATTCACGTGCATTTGTAAATGCTAATATGGGTCTTGGTAACACCTGACTTTAGCAACAGGCTATTATTGTTTTGTTTATTGTAGCAAAGGTTCTCCTCAGCAGATCACTACTTCTCCCCCTTCACTGCCTCCCAATATGTTCCAGCCTTATGTTCCAGCCCAGAGCTGCTGTTTGTGGGCTTGCAGCTCAGATGCTATTGAATTATGTTACTTCTCTTCATTTGCTTTTGATTGTGATTTTCAGGGTAGAAATGAAAAAAAGAAAAAAAAAAGAAAAAGGAACAACTAGCCA